CGCATAAACTCTCGCAGTAGCCCTCGGCAGTAATCTCGATATTCCCGCAGTACTCGTGCATAAATGTGGCCTTTTTATGCGTTATTTCTGGGTTATTACCTGGTTATGTCTATCTTATTTTAATTTACTTCAAAGTTTCTCATTCCATTTTTATTATTATTTTACATTGCTCTCCATACTACCTTGGAGATAAACCCGCTATACCACCCATACTCCAGATTACTAATGAGTTATTTTTAGCTTATTTCTAAATTATTCTCCATCTTTCCAAACACGGTCTTTTTATGAGTTATCTCTAAGTTATTTTTGGCTCATCTCTATGTTATTATAATATACAACGATGGTTATTAAAGGGAAGTTTTTGTTTCTACTCATGCTTACAAAAATTCAATCAGTAAAGTATTCATACTTACAAGTGGTTGTAGATTAAACAAATTCAACGTCAAATAACACAAATTCATACACTATTACACGACTTTACATTCACATACATTAATTTATTGTTCAGTCAGTGTAAATCTATAATTTTCGTATGCCAGCTCTGCACTAAATTGCGGCTTATCTTCCTACCAATTTAATTTATTCTTCCAATCCAACTTCTCGACCTGTACAATTGTTTTCATATATTTACATATAAATAGAGCACAATCAATGCTATTACTCTGTGTAGGAACGCCTCTCGTTATTGAAACTGACCATTTTAGTGGATCAAAGGGGAAGACTTTTCCAGTGTCCTTCACTAGATTTTGAATATGGAAATAACTATGTTAATTACAATATGTGACCGGATACACAATGAAAGAATTGCTTAAAGAATCCAAGAATTGAAACTCTATTTGCTTACAACATTGCGGCTGACGGCCACATGAAGTTTATTGGGTAACGAATCATAGAATCTCCCTTTGCGGGTATTCATATTCCCCACAAGTGAAGTCTAGTGTCTATTATAAATTATTGGAATCAAAATAAATTCGGCTCTGTCAACCGTATCAATGGTGAGATTTCTTACAAGCTCCCTCATTGGGTGGTCTTTGTATGCTTGTATAGCAAAAGCAGTATGACTATATAAGTTGTATTATGGTTTATATGAAATTATGGAAAGTTGGAAGTGTACCCAATGTACGAGAGATACGTAAAGGTGGGGCCTATACGAATTGGGTGATTGGGCACATTTTCTTTCCATTATTAATGCAGACATATCTACATGTTTAGGTCCTAATTCTTCATTATTCCATAGTGCTTCGACAAAATTTCAACTAATATGAATAAAACCCCGTAAAACTAACATATCATCACTGCGGGCAAACGAGAAAAAAATATCAAAACATGTATGTAACATATTGATGCATGTAGTTATTAAATCAGAGATAATTATCGAGCGATGTAATCATTGAAACTTGCATCAATCATTTCTTCCATGTGTGTTGGGATGAGATCAAAGATAGAGAACTCAATGGTGGGAGGACCTTCAGCTGACGATGTTGGAACTACATGAGCAGGGAGGTCACATTCACATAGAATAATTGCTTTTTGCAAGTCTTCCTCCTCAAGAACATCTTCATTCAAATCCATAATTGTGATCTCCACAGCATGTTCCCCAACTTCCTCCGTAAGAATCAGTGGTTCCAAATAAAGAATGTTAGCGGTGTCTGAAACTTCTATTATTTTGGTATGTTCAACATTGGAATCACCTTTTATTCGTTCGACATAAGTCTCTAAAGAATTGTGTGTATGTTCTACTAACTAATCTTATTTACATTTTCAAATTTCTTCAATTTCTTTATCGATCTTCCCTTCTTCCTGCCAGAAACGGTGAATGGGAAGTCTACTTTCCTCTTTTTTCTCATGTCTATGGACTTTGTAGATTCCCCTTCACCCTTATTTGTCTGATTTCAGACTGGATCTCTACCATCGCGATCTCAATTTTATTAAAGCGACTATTTACAGACTCTCTAAATTCAAAAAGAAATTTTTATTGTTCCTGCAGCATTTGCAAGAGATTTTCTATGCCCACATCGTTGTCTGTATATGTTTGTGGCTGGGTTGGTGGAGGGATGACTTGACTGAGGATCAGATGATGAGTGGTAGGAGAATCAGGCAATGGTGGTTTGGCTTGAGCTTCAGGTTGTGTGATAGGAAAAGAAATTAAATCAGTAGGACCCGCAAGTAAACCTTGCTCCTCATATTTAAGACAGCAAAAAAATCCAAAATCTACAAATAGATTCAAACTTAAGTACCACTCAGGTAAAACTACCCAATTGCAAGTACAACAAAATAAAGTAGCACATAACGTAACTCTAAACAAAATGTTAAATTACTAACCTGTGAAGCGTTGAGCCTCTGAAAGGCCAGATGTATATTTGCAGGGTTCCGGCCAATATTTATTGACCACCTCAGCATACGAGGTCTGGCCTCAGGAATAGCAAGGATTATCAAAGTTGTGCGCTCTTAAAATCACAGCTGAGCAAACACAAATAAATCAATCTTACAATATGATGACACTAAAATGAATAAACTTTCTGCAAAGATGAATAATATACTAACCGTTAGGAGGAAAACAAATCCATTTTGGTAACCCAATGGTTGACCCATCTTTATTTTAATTGCGCAAAGATTGACTTGCTCAATGAGGTATTCACATATAGTTGTAGGCCAATTAAATGAAGTGAAAGAATCCAAATTCTAAGCAAATGAATAAAGACCTTCGGCCACACCAAAATTGCTTGAAGGAAAAAATAAATTTGACAACAAAAACTTAATAAATAGTTCATCGACTACACCAGAAGTCTCTCCGAGTGACACCTTAACTAGTTCACTCTTTGTCTTCCTGACATCCATACCACTGAGAGGTTGTTTTTTCCAGCTTGCTATTGGTCCTTTGTTGGGCATGCCAATCAGTAAAGAACCTTGATCTGCAGCAAAACTCACCTCCTTCCCACCTAATCTGAATAGCACACGATCAATATCCCAACAATTCAAAATGTGCATAGTTAGGATATGATCTTGAGGATATGAGGGGAGTTCAAAAAATTGATGCACATTCAATTCTCTCAGCCTTCTCTCAGGTCTCTTTGGAAACAGTGGGCCGATCCTTCTCTAGCACATCTCTAACTGTTGAAGGACGACAGCTGCAATTCATTCCCTTCTTGTTCATCAACCTACATGAGTAAGAAAGAATTTATTAACAATAACCGCATAAAAATTTTCAAAACACTCATTCAGATAATTTTCCTCAATAATTGTTAAATAACTCTAATATAACCCTGAAATAACTGCAGATTAAATCGCAGACCAAACCAAAAGTAACGCAGAAATAAACCAATAATAAAACTACAATAACCCAGTAAAAACCCCACCAATAATACTACAATAACCTAAGAACAACCTAAAAATATATACAATCGTAACCCTTCAATTAACCCAACACTACCTGGAGAATAACTTCCATGAAACCCCTTAACCAAAAAAAAACAAAAAAATAACCCCACAATAATCCAAGAATAACCTAATAATAAACTCCTCAATAAACTCTGACTAACCAAATATTATCCCAAGAATAACTCCCACAAAATCAGCCCCTAATGCAACATTAACTCATAAATAACCAAATAATAACCCAATAATAACCCACAAATAACTCAAGAATAATCCAGATTAACTCGTAAAAAGAACAAAAAACCACCGCTACATTAACTCATAAGTAACCCATGAATAACCCATAATTAACCTATAAATAACCCAACAATTAACCAATAATAGCTGCCAAAAATAACCTACATATAACCAAAGATAACCTAGCAATGAACCCCTAAACATAAACCAATAATAACCCAACTATGTACCAGAACAAAGAACCAAGATTAATCCAGATTAACACATAAACATAACAAAAAATTATGGCTACATTAACCCATCAATAACCCAAAAATTAACCATTAATAACCGCAAAAAATAATCTAAATATAACCAGAGAATAACATAGCAATGAACACCCAAGCATAAACCAATCCAATTAATTCATAAACTAAATAATCTAAATATAACCAGAGAATAACATAGCAACCCCCCAAGCATAAACCAATCCAATTAATTCATAAACTGAACAAAACCCACAGTTATGTTAACTCATAAGTAACCCAAGAATAACCCATAAATAACTCAACAATTAACCAATAATAGTTGCCAAAAATAACCTAAATATAACCAAAATATAAACTAGCAATGAACCCCCAAGCATAAACCATGCAATGAACCCCCAAGCTAGCAATGAACCCCCAAGCATAAACCATGAATAACCCGTGAAAAACCTAAAAATACGCCAACAATAACCGAACTATGAACATAAACTACCTGTTAAACTAGACTAAATTCTAAATTTAACTAGAATAAAATGATATATATCAGGACAACTTCTCCACTTCAACCGCCTCTGTATTCGACCTCTCTGCATCCTTCTTCTTTCTTTCTTTCTTCAACTTCTTTTTCGGCTGTTCCTGATCACCTTTGTTGGCCTCCTCCAACTCCGGCCTTATGAGCTCTTCCAACTGCATATTCTTCGAATCACCGAACTTCATTTTCTCCGCCTCTTCTTCTAGCTGCATATTCTTGACGTACTCCAACTCCATTTTCTTACTCCTTCGACACTAACCTTCCAACGTTAGAACGCCAGCGAAAACCCAACAGATTGAAGATGAGATCTCTTTAAATCGGTCTCGTGGAAGCCAAAAAGGTTCTCGACAACCGTATTTCAATAGGCGGGATACTCCAAAAGTCGGATTAATTGAACGGGTGGATCAGACTTTAATTTTTCTTTTTTTTAAATTACTTAAAATGTGAGACCCGCCATTATAAGTGAGATATATTCATTACTCCCATTGTTACACTTACATTTGAAGACCAGACTGAAAATTTTGGCTGTAAATTTTACAGCAACATAACATTCATAAGTTCATGAAATGAGTCGGATTGTATGGAGTTAGCAGAGTCAATGCACACTCAGGGAGAACCAAGGGTCGGTTGGTTCGGTTTTCTTTTCATGACTATTTTCAGAAAAGTGTCTCCTTCTCGACAAGCGCGTTGGACCGCTCGTGACCTCTGTCGCCATTCTTCGTGCTCTCCGCCGCAGAGCTCTCTCACCCTCCCCTTTGATCGCTGTCTTAATTTTTCTCCGCAGCGTTCTCCGACCTTGATCTGCGATCAATTTTGCAGCCTGCCGTCGCGATACGGTGGGTATGACTTCGGCCATTTGCACCATCGTCCCTTCGGCTCATCTTCGTAAGATTTCCCGCTATGGATCATTCGGATTTTCGCATCCGAAAGGTCCTTGGGGATCTAGGATTTCCATGAGCATCTCGGTCGGATCTCGGGAGAACGCAACGGAGGACGCTCTGTTTGCAGATTACATGCCCAGATGCGCGTTTTTGTTTCCCGGGCAGGTAATTCCAGCTCTGTTTTCCCTGTCATTTCCTGTTTCTTTTTGTGAAAAAATGACATCTTCATGTAGTTTTTGTTGGTGATTTTTTTCATTGCTTTGCATTTTGTTGAACTTGGGTTTGCTTAGATGCAAGGCTGAGTTTTTCTTTTGGCCGAGGGGAAGTTTAGTAGAGTAATACTACATGATCTTTTTTCAATGGGTACTCTGGAAAAAAAGTTTGTTTTATTTTTAGGGGCAAGTTTTTTCCCGCTTTAGATTTTTCCTAAAAGCGGATATCAGAGAAAATAAAGCCAGAAAATTTTGCTTGCTGATAATGAACTTCAAAATTATTCTTAGTTTATCGTTTCTATCTGAGAACCCAGTAGTTGAAACTAAATTTTTGGACACTAGCTTTGGAGTTGAGGATTTCACATGAGCAATCTGCCCTGCCATTTGTGTTTTTTTACTATCCCTTTGCTCAATAAAGAATACACTTGTCCTGAATATAGAACAACTCTTCCCTATTCAGCCATCCACAGGTTTTTTCTTGATAAGAGTTGGAAAATAAGACACCCATTGACGATGTAATGCCTGTGATTTAGCTATATTTTTCCTCATTATTCATTCAGTATACTGATAAATTACCAAATATGTCCGATTGCCATCATAATTTCCTTAATGTGGGCTTCCATTCAATATTCTAAAAAATTATCAACTTTTGTTGTAGAGAGCGGAGGGAGGGTCACACCTAGTTATCGCAGTCTTGATTTATTAGTAACTATTTATTATTATTTCTCATTTATTAAAATGTTAAAATATTTTGATAGAAGTTGTGGAAAGAAGAGTATTTCTCTTTCATAGTTTGAACAAGCAGAGTAATTGTTTAGCTTCCTCTCAGAAGTACCTCCTTTTATGATGCCACATGTTCTTAAAATGTAAGGCTATTAGCATATATACTACCTAAATGACAAAATACAATAATTTTAAAGCTGCTAGTTAGCATGGTGTTCCTGGCCTGAAAATTAGGATTTGATCTTTTATGATAACTAATTGGGGGTACCAACCCTCTTTTTACCATTAGAAAACCAAAAATAGTACCTCCATCTCACCCCATCCCACCCCATCCGACCCCATCCCACCTTCCCACCTGTCCTAGAAGGAAGATGAGCATAATATCAATTATATTTATTTAAAATTGGGGATAACTACCGCCTCGGTATCTCCTATTGCTCCTCACCTCTCCTAAAAGGAAGAGGAGCATTATGTAAGTTATATTTATTTAAATTCACAAAAAAAGCAGTTCAGAAGGTTTTTGCTGCAATTAAATAACCACAAGTTTGCATATCATAAAGATACAAAAGGCAAGACAAGTAGTTTGACGGTTGCATGCCTACGAGGTATACACTAAGTAGATTGGCTGGAGATATTTCCTCTTCATCTAAAATTGAAAGATAACTTTAAATATCCCTGAATCATATTTTAGTGTTTGGTTGATATTGCCATAGAAATAGCTGTTTAAAACATATTTGCAGCAATCTTCACAGTAAACCAATCTAAACATAAAATAACGTGATGCCAATCATCTTCTTTGTGAGTATTTATTATTATTATTATTATCATTATTATTATTTGTTCTTTTAGAATTGGTGCTCTGCATTAACTATTCCCTAGAATATAGAAAAATCTACCTTTACATCATTTAAAATTTTTGTTATTTTATGAATAAGAGGTAATCAGTCATCTCCGTGAAGCTTATAATCAGAAACTGGAATGTTCTGATGCCTAGTTGAAAATTATCCCATTCTATGACTTGGGTTATTCACGCTTTTCGAGATCATATGATAATAAAAATACTTTTTTGTGATAATGTGCTCTCAGATCGGACCCGAGAAAACCTCAAACTACAAATAATTATTGTGCGTTTTTAGCAGAAGTTTGTGAAATTCAACTTATTTTTTGTTAGCATATTAGGAGTTTATACATTTTATATCAAAGTAAGCAGAACTATTCAGTTGATTTTGATAAGCTTGCTGTTTTATGTTACTTAATCCATCGGTATTAAAATGAGCATAAGAGGTAAGAGAGGACAGTTAAGAGAGGAAAACACCCTGGTTATTATTTCTTGATTTGAAAAAAAAAAGCAAACAAAGGCCTCATTATTATGAATGGTCTTTTATTACAACTTCAAATCCAAGTGGCACGAAGTCTTCTCACACTATCCTTACAAAGTCAATTTTCAGTGAGAAGCCGTTTATATTTTTGGGAATCAATCATTTATGGTCTCATTAATACATGAAACGTTATGAAATATCATTATCTATCATAGAATCAATGATGGTAGAACCTATTAGGAAATTAGTGTTAATCCAAATAATAAATATTAACAGACTAATGAAGCTATAATTAGATTTATCCACCTGATGCATGACTTATAACCTCCAAACATATAAACTAGTACCTTTAGTTAATATTTCCTGCTATGTTTCATGATGTAAGCATTGTTTTACAGATAGTTTATTTTTTTAGTATTTGGCATAACATTGATTTCATATAATGATACAGCCTTGCATAGATATTCATGCTTTAGCCACAGCTATCAATGAGAATGTCATGATATTTAGCTTCAACAGTGATTCTGAAGCTCTACTGTTAATTATGCAATCTTGCTTTGCAGATATTTTATTTAGTACTTTTCGGTTTAAACTCTAACTGCTGTTTATTTTAACTGTCAAAACTCCTATGTAAGGGCGCACAAAATTTAGGAATGGGGCTCGAGGCTCAGAGTGTGCCTGCTGCAGCTGAATTATTTCGTAAAGCAAATGACATACTCGGGTATGTGAAACTTACTTTCCTCTCCTAGATATCTAATTTCTTATCTAATTAAACCTTTCTCTTGGTGCATAACACTTCAATTCAATTCTCTTTTTATTTTTTGTTAGTTTTGATCTTTTGGATGCTTGCACCAGTGGGCCCAAAGAAAAGCTTGATTCAACAGTAATAAGCCAGGTGAAGCGGTGTTTTACTTATCAATCGTCAAGCGGATGCATTTCTTTCTCATGCTTTCCATATCTATTAGTTCATACTGGTCTTAGGAATGAAACCAATTACTAAATTAATTTTTGGCTTAATTTTGCCCTCTGGTGGTCATGGCCTTTATTTACAGTGTTGGTCCATCCAACAAAGGTTAAATGATGCACTGGCGTACCATTTGATATCAAAGTGTTTTAATCAGGCTATTTCAGATGGTTTTACTCGTTGAATGAAGCTGTATATCTGCACTACATGTCTGTTTGAATGATGGAATATGCACAGAGCATCTCCTCTCAGGTTTCCTACATTGTGGTCCAAATAATAGGTCCTACATACCCGTCAAATAATTCGTTGCATTTTGACAGCCGAGTATTGCTTCTAATATATCAAACAACAAAAGTTGTGCAGAAAATGCCCGTGGTTTTATTGGAAACTCTATTTCATTTAGAGTTTCTTTCCTTCATTTCAAATGATGTTAGCATACCATTATTATTAGCATATACCAATAGTTCCTTAGCAAAAGTACATTGGTTTTATCTTGTTGTCATAATACGCATTACGATTGAATGTTGCTACTCTTTCCATACTTAATGCATTTTATTTTCTTATAGGTTTGTTTGCCCAGATGAGTTTTTTTTCTTTTTTTGTTTGATATTAGTATTCCACAGCCTGCAATCTATGTGACAAGCCTTGCTGCTGTCGAGGTTCTGCGTGCACGCGATGGAGGACCTGACATCATTGATTCAGTAGATGTCACTTGTGGCCTAAGCTTGGGAGAGTACACAGCTCTTGCATTTTCTGGAGCTTTCAGGTACTCCACCTTCATCAAATTGCTATTTCATAGTACCTCATTGATTATCATTTTTCTTGGAACTTTTTTTTTTGTATGGCTTTCTCAGAAATAGACAGAGATATCATGTAGAAAATCCTTTATTCTATGGCTAAATTAATAGGATAGATTCAACTATTTATTACTCCATTTATTTTTTGTTGTGTATTTACTTAATATCATTCTAATTGCTATAATGTTAATTACAAGCTTCGAAGATGGGCTCAAGCTTGTCAAGCTAAGAGGAGAAGCAATGCAGGTTAGCAGGTGAAAGTGAGGTTTGAGTATATCACTGTTCTTTCTATATGGCTATATGCGTATAAGTTAATATCTTATATCTATCTATCTATATATATCATCGTGTAATGAATTTGTTATAATGATTTTTTCTTTACCTTTATCAGGATGCCTCAGATGCTGCTAAAAGTGCTATGGTTAGTGTCATTGGATTAGATTCAGAAAAGGTGCAATTGTTATGTGATGCTGCCAATGAGGAAGTAGATGAGAAAAACAAAGTTCAGATTGCAAATTTTCTATGTCCAGTATGATGTCTTTTCCTTTTTTTGTTTTTAATTCTGATCAGATTAATTGCACATTGCTCTAACGCTAAATGATTTATTGATTGCAGGGTAATTATGCTGTTTCTGGTGGCGTGAGAGGAGTAGAGGCGGTTGAAGCCAAGGCTAAATCTTTTAAAGCTCGCATGACGGTGACGCTTTTTTTTTTACTTAATTTATCATTCTCTTCTAGGCTCAAAAAATGTGATCTCATTTGAGATTGAACTGCAAGATAGCTTCTGAGGCTTGGTAAACACATAATTTAATTGCTTTCCAAACTCTTGACTGCCAGAAAATATGCATCTTTGCGTTTCAATGATTTCTTACTTTTTCTGATCCTGGTATTTAATGTATTTTGTTTCATTCTAGTTCTGGAAGATAGGTTATTCTTTCATGTTAGAAAGAGCATGCACTTGCTTTCACTCACACACTGGCATGCCAGAATTAAGCCAGATTTTTATTTGTATGGAAGTAGCGCAATACAAGCTAGCTTTTCTTTATATTTTGAAGCTTCTCGTAAGTCTACCTTACGATCATTAGTTCATCCCTTCATTACAATACAATGAATATCTCACCATTCATCAGGTACGTCTAGCCGTTGCTGGTGCATTTCATACAAGTTTTATGGAGCCTGCTGTCTCGAGATTGGAAACTGCATTGGCATCCACGCAGATTAGAACGCCAAGGATACCAGTTATATCCAATGTCGATGCCCAGCCTCACTCAGACCCTGATAAGATCAGAAGTATCTTGGCACGCCAGGTAAGTAGCTATACATTTTGTCTTCCAAGTATCATATATATAAATGTGGCTCTTTGTAAATATAATAAGAGTGAAATACTAATAGCAACTGTGATCACTTTAAACCAAGGTAACCTCTCCAGTTCAATGGGAGTTAACAGTCAAGACTCTTTTGGGTAAAGGATTAAAGAAAAGCTATGAAATAGGACCTGGGAAGGTATAGATTTTCAACAATGCTTCTCTTCATCCATAACTGTCCATGGTTTTTTTTTTCTTTTTTGAGAAATTTACATACATACCACAATTCCTATGTATTTACATTTCTAGTACCTAAAATTTATATTTATATTTATAACATCTTAGTGTCACAAACCTATGCATGAGGTGTGTTTCACTTTTTTAAAAAAGTATGTAATAGTGATTTTTTATGTGATATTAATGATTTGAGTATTACATGTAAATATAAAAAATTACTTTTTAGATATGTAAATACATAAAAATTATGTGGTATGTATGTAAATGCTACAATTGTTTATGGAGAAATTTTGAAAAGGCTAATTGTTTTAAAAGAAATTAACAATAGTATATAAAAAAAATTAATTGAGAGCTAGTTGCCCAACATTTGGGTGACTAGCATCCATCCCTAGATCGATCATTGACTGGGCGACGAATGCTTGCTTGGCTGGCCCATCGACCACCAATTTTTTTTTTTTTTCATATTTAAAGTCTTTTAATTATTTAATGGTTTTTTTTAAATATAATGATTATTAATAAATTTCCAAAAATAATTTGAGCAATTTTGATTAACAAAATCTTGTTTGAGATTTATGTAAAAATTATGAATAAATTTGAAAAAAAAATTGATTGACAAAAAGTTAGTAAATAAATTTTATAAATATTTAATGAGTTTTTCTTTGTGCTTAATATTTTTGTTATCTATAATTTATTATTTAACTTAGACCAGTAAAAATGTTTTGTGGAATTTTGTAAGAGATTTGAGTGATAATTTTTTAATATTTATAACTTTTTTAATAAAATTATAATAAATAATTTAAATGTATAAGAAAGTTTATTTGAGAGTAATATTTTAATATTTATAACTTTAAGTTTATTAAATATAACATATATTTTGAGAGAACAAATTTTTAATATTATTAAAGTTTTATATTTCCAAAAAAATGATAATAAAATTAATACTCAATTTTATAGTCATCTTGTAAAATTTTAGAGATAATGAAAATATTACTTTTCGTAGCAACATATTTATAGATTGGTCATTATTTATATAATTATATAGCAGCGATAATACAAAATAAAGTAAAATAGCTTCTGAAATCTTCTCTGTCGAGGTAGGATGGCATGCAATCACCATGTATTGATCTGACCCTTTTCATAATTGTTTTTGAAACTCATAACTAACTAATTCTTGTTAATTATCATCTTCCTCTGTGTCTTTCTGCTATGTTGAGTTTTATTAACCCAAAATATTATTATAATTCAAAAGAAAAAAAATAAAATAAAAAGGCATCTCTATTGGTGATTTTTGAACAAGCGTGAATATTGTTGTGTAATCATAAAGTACATATTCACTTTGCTGTTCCATGGTCATATAGCTTTTATGTGAATCCCATTTATGATTAAAAGATGATTGTTTATGATATTACATAGGAAAAAAATTAGCCTCGCTCTTGATTGCTCTCCATTTAGCAAGTTTTTGATGTTAGCCCGCATCTATATCATCACCGATATCATGTTGTTGTCTAGTGCTTTTAGAATGCACTAAAAAATGAAATTATTGGGTCTCTACTAAAAGTATTAATGACAACCATTATTTCACTATCATCTCGCTCATCACGATAATAGAATGAGTGAAACATAATCATTCTATTATTTGTTTTTTGCTATAACTAAATAATAAATAATATTTGAAAAATTACATATTAAATTTAGTTGGAAGTATCTACTGACGCGGGGCGCGGGCGCGTCTCTACTCATTGACTCTAGGACGCTGATACCGTTGTGGGCGCAACAATTGCCGCATGGGTTCAACTCAATACAAGCAGAATCAACATCAAGCGGACCTCCTTAGCGTTCGATTCTCTTCTCTTTGGAGTGGGGCCTACTCTTTAGCCTAAGACTTTATATGATATTTTGTGTTCTAGGGCAGATTTGATTTCAATTTTCTGTCGTCGGCATCTTTCTCCTTTGTTGGGGCTGTATCATGCTCCATGGTGGTGATTATTTTCTCATATTCTTCCCTTTCCTACTTTCCCTTGCATGTTGTTGCACCTAGTCGCTGTTGCTTGCTACCTCACCATCTTTCAGCTGTCTGACATACATTAATTTTACGTGATTCCACATGTGTTTTACCTTGCATTTTACCTGTTAATTTTTTACTTAATTATCACAGATTTACACTCGAAAAAGACTTTTTTTTTATGTTTTGTATGTTATAGGTGTTGAATATGAGCATTTTGAATTAGAAAAGCCAACGTAAAAGCTGCTTAAAGCGTCTTGACCATGCCTAGGAGAAGGGTGGCCACGATAAGTAATCGATAGCAGCGGCGTGATCATGCCAGAAATTCAGACCTGTGGTGTGACCATGCCGGGATCTAGTGTGATCACACCGCCCGATTAAGAAGCCCAGCGTAACCATGCCAACGGAGCTTGAAATGATTTTGGAAAGAGTTTTTCTTGCCAAATTCATGGTTATGATTTAAAAATGTTTTTTAGGCTTCTTTGAGAGGAAAGATATCTGGGACGACTGGAGACAGAGATTTTGAGTGCTTCCCTTAGGTTCCCTTCCTCTCCTTAGGTTGAAACCTTTAAGGGTTAGGTTTTCCACTTTGAGTTATTGCGAGTTTTGAGAGTTTTTGTATGAGAGAGAGAGGTGTTGCTCTTGTGGAGAGGACAAGCCTTTATTGTAAGTTTTTTTTTGTATCTTGCAAAAAACAATCGCATGGATTTCTTGTTTATGGCTTTCTCAATAATGCATTACTAAACTCTTTTTTCTCTTTGTGATGTAGGGATAATGGTTTTTATCTTGATTTTCTGAGATGTTTTTCCTGTAGCATTTTTCATGCGTTCATGACATATGTTGTTGGTTAACATCCGAATTTTATAAACTCATAGTCTGACCAACTAGAGTGTTAAAATCTTTCGTGAAGCTATGACCTTTAACCGTTGCGTAGTAGAAATGGAAGGGTTCTCGAGAGGATAGACATATTCCAGTAGGATTTTGTAACCCTTTTAGGGAATCAAAAACACCTTGGGAAATGTGATAAGGTTAAGCAAAACTCAACCCTATGGGTTTCTAATTTCTCTTTTGACCTAGACATAAACATAAAAGGAAACTTGTCCCTGATTGACGACAATCACATAGGAAAATATTCAAGAATACCATGAACCACTATGATACCCGAATCACAGAGGCACGAGCCTCGTCATTCTTGAAGAAACTTCTGAGATTTTTCCTGCTTTTCGGTTTTTTGTTGTATGCGACTTGATATGATTTTATTAGAATTTTAGGACTTAAACCTCTTTTGCTATCAAACTCAGCTTGGTTTACAAAATTAGTAAACCAGAGATTTTTCTGCAGGAATTATTGTTAAACCTTTCATCATGAGATCGATACACAAAATCTTAGACCGCATGTTACTCACATATACTTGCATTGTGCGACCATCTTACTTCGTGAGATCGATACACAAAATCTTAGACCGCATGTTACTTGACACATATACTTGCATTGTGCGACCATCTTACTTCGTGGTAGGTTTTGACGAGTCAATTTTTTAACACCATTGCTGGGGGAATGCGTTAATAGTTATTTCTATATTAGGAAAACTTTAGTTGATAAGCAATGTGAGCCATGCAAACCCAGTGTAGTTCAGTAGTGAACTCCAAGAAGATTAAATCTATATGGGTAGTTGCTCGCAAATATGAAGCCCTTCAATTGTTTTAGGAGACAGTGAAACTGTTAGTGGGATCCTAGAGATTCTAGGATTGCAGCCAAAGAGCCTTTGGCTACAGAAGGTCAGACCAATTCCATCGTCGATAACAAACAGACAAAAGTTTTGACTTCGACAAATGAGGTTGAAGCTCCCCCAATCCTAGGAGATTGACTCAAAACACGGGGGCGCCTCTACATGTCGGCATGGGGGCGCGTAAGCCCAACATGGGGATTTGATACTCGTGTAGGCTTGAAAATTGTTGCACGGGTTCTACTTGATTAAGGCAGAATCATGATCGAACGGACCTCCTTAGCACACGGTTTCCTCCAATTTGGAGTGGAGCCCACTTTTTACCGTAACTTATATGTTATTTTATGTGTTCTATGCCAGTTTTGATTTCAAATTTTTGTTGTCGGCGTCTTTCTCCTTTGCTAGGGTTGTATCTGAGGTCAGGTGATGCTCCGGATATATCATGCTCTAAGGTGGTGATTATCTCCTCATGTTCTTCCCGTTTCCGCTTTCCCTTGTGTGCTATTGCACCTTCTAGTCGTCGTTGCTTGTTGCCGCACCCTCCAATAATCCCCCACTTGCTGTCTAGCCATCCCAATCCAATCCCGACTTGCTGGCACACCCTCCATCGTCTCCAACTTACTGCCCAGCACCCTCTATTTGCGGTCGCACCCTTCCACAGTTCTGCTGTCGGCTACCACACTTTGCCATAGCCCACTGTTTACTATCCAGCCACTGCACCACTTCCCCTGCTTGTTGTCACACGCTCCACAATCTTTTGTTTGTTGTCTAGCCGCCAACCCACCTTCCTCTCGTGACTGCTAAAGCTCCCTCCCTATCACTTATAGTTCTATGTTTCCACTATCTCAACACAGCACACCACCGCTGATCCTCGCCCTAGGGGGTTTTGTATTTTTGTCGTTGCTTTCCTATTTTTAGCTGGTTGTTTTGCATCCCTTGGAATTTTAGTAACAAAATCATCTTTCATCTTTCAGTTCTGGTTTTTGGGTTTAACTTTGGTATCACCTACATAATTTCATTATGTGATTGTCTTGTTATAATAAGTTGTTGGAGATTGTGACTCAGGTTTAAATGAATACAATGAGAGCCTAAATTTTTATCAATAAAAATAATGAGTTATTGCATGTTGATATATTTTATATGTGATTATAGGATCTATAATATAAGTTAATCTCTAATTCCAATTGTATGCTCAATTGACCGTATTTAAGTTGATCAATATTTGTCTTGTCTG